AAATTCCCCCCCCCCCCCTCAATAAAAACTAAAGGTACAAATTTCATACCCTCTTTTATCTAATCTTTCTTGGGTGGCGGGGGTTAATTTTTCTAGCGGGGTTTTTATCTGGACAAGATCCGTTTATTATCACGAAAAGCGGTCGACACACAACCATGACCGAACGATTCACTGTAGGACATTTTTCTACAGAACAGTTTCAGTTTTCTGAATTCTGGTGAATAAAGTGCTATCATCACTTAGATAGAATTTCCCAGAAGCTCATTTTGAAAAAAAGGAACAGCCGATTGGCTACTCATTCTGACAAGAACTCTACCTGGAAACATCACAAACGAGAGATTCAGCTGGGTTCCAGGTGAGTCTCTCGAAAAACCAAATTAGTTTGCAAATGAGTGTATATTTACTAATTTCGTGCAATTTGTTTTCAAGTAGAACGTAAGGTTGACGGAAACCCGGGGACTGCACCTACCTGATGAGTCCCAATAAGGGTGAAACCGGTCGCGGACTGTCGACGGATTTTCAGTAACCTTATGAGTAGTGCGAAACTCTATCTTATTTCGGACTTTCGCACAACTACAAATGTCGCCTCTGGAAGCAAGCAAACAGACGCGTGGACTCACGAAAAACATGGTCGTTCTGCAGTCGAATGACTAGCATTCAATTTCCTTTGGGTAAAGAAACTACTTGTTTAATCCATACCTGAGGTGTGGGCCGCTGATCCTAGTAAAATAACGTCTGTCCTGACAGTCAGAGCCAAAAGAACATCTGAAAATTACGGTGTTTTCTTTTTACTCGCCTTTTTTAAGCGAACGATTGTCGCAACTTAAACAGCTACGTGTAAATACTCGGATACACCCTCCCTCACTTAACTTAGTAACTATCTGTAGAATACAGTTCACGCACTGCAAAGATGCTTCTTGGTATATCACATCTGCACCCGCCAGATTGTTTGGTCATTAGGCACTCTGATTAGACATGCACACTGGATAGTTGTAAAGTCATTCAAGGCGTGCTTGTTTATCGTGTGGGTCTCGCTAAAAAGCCTTGATTCCTGACAGCTAGACTGCTGTACCATCCAATCATTATGCCTTTCCAAACCGATTTTTGCTGAATCTTCATGAGTTAGCAGCACCCACCAGCACTGGTTCCAATAGATGCCAGTGAAAAACTTGCGTCTGTGTGTGCAAACGAGAGAGGACCATCGGCGTGCCTGACTCAACACGCCCGCCTGTCCAGCGCCTTTAGAGACCGATGACAGTGGTCATGCATTAATGGACAACCGAGCAGTAAGTAAGGTTTGTAAGTAAGCATGTCCTGGCTTGTCACATTCGTCTGATCGCTCAAAAACACTTGGTTTATACCCTGGGCAGTCCTGCATCGATGAAAGTAAAGTACACACATAATTCATGATTGTCAGCCGGATGAACAAGCATCAGTTGTGTGATATTGTGATAGGGTTAGAGGTTGTAAGTCTGCTGCGCGTCTCCATCCACCACAGGCTTGCAGATTAGTCGAGGGGAGGAAAGCTTAGTTAGCGAAATACACTCATTTGCAAACTAATTTGGTTTTGTGATGTTTCGAGGCTTAGTTAGTGACGGGCTGTTGCTGCATCGAACCACCAAAAATGTTTTGGAAAGAAACAAACAAACACAATTCATGCTCACATCATTCCCGTTTGAACAGTCTTAGGGCCATTTGCCCGGTAAGTCCCCACACCAAAGAGGAATTTACTAGAATAATTGCGCCCGGACAGGAGGACGATCAGAATGATGTCAGCATGAATCATACATATCCACTACAAGCCATCCGAAACTAGAAACAAAGGAATCAATCGTGGTTAGAGAGTAACAAGAAGGGTCGTCTAAAAACCAAGAAAATCAGGAACTCCCCCTCTGCTCACACACAAACAAGTTACTGTGGAGGGCGAGGAGAATGTTGGAAACGCCTTCAAAGCGGTACCGTTTCCACACTCCTATGTATCACTGAAGTGTGAACTTACCATTTGTAAGTTCACCATATTTACCATCAGCCAAGTCAGGAAGTGGTGAAACATGCAACGGTTTTCTGATCCCTTCGACAGTTGGTCCACCTTAGTTTTAGCAGAGGGTTCGATAGTCTGTAACAAGACTATGCAACAAGATAGTATCAACCCAAGAGTGTCTTTTATTTATAAGGATGGTTAGTTTCTATGAGCACCGCCTCAAAGTGGCTAAAAATAATCTCAAAAGCCCATGAACGGAATCGTTCGAATTGGGGCTCATCAGGCAGTCACCGAGTTTCCGTCAACCGTATGTTGTTCGCAATTCGCCAAGTACGCACGGTAATTTGGTTTCAACTTGGTGGCTTGACTGAATCACAGCTGAATTTCTCGCTTACGATATCCTTCAACGGCCGCACGAGGTCGCTTCGTCTTTCAGGTACGATGTTTAAGGCAAGCTGAGGTAAAATGCAGATCATTCTTGTGTTTCCAGCACTTGGTAACAGATCTTCAGAACTGACCCTCAGTGCCGTTAGTGTCGTCCTCATTGGCGTATGTCCGTAAGTCTCCTCGCCAAGCCACCCAGCCCGAATCAGAAAGTGCTTTCAGCTAGAGAAAATGCAGAAAAAACTAGCTAATGTCAACGGAAGTCAAGTGAAGTTGCAACAGGGGATTTGACAGTATCAACTCAACCGATCAATACCATTATTCCAATTTCCTTGGTAGTCGTACGGATATGCTGCTCTGCAGACTACTAGTAATCAACGCAGTAGTCTTTTCTGTCTCTTAGGTTTTTTATACCCCACACATAATCAGTTTACTTGGACAGTAAGCACTCCAACTTGTCAGTGCTGCCTAAAACAGCTTCCAGTAGCTGTTTGGAAAGAAACTTGAAAAGATACTAGGCTTTAGAAGTAAACATAACCAAAAGGTTGTACTTTTCAAAATCGTGAGCTGCCCTACAGCCCTACGGATTTTCTCCTCTTGCTTCCAGTGATAACTGTCAGTTGGAACAGGCTTTAATGAGTATTCCTACCGTCACACAAGACTTCCTTTGGAACGGGGGGGAGACTAGAAAGCATCAATTTGAAGGAGCCATGTTACTGTTTCTGGTAAACTCAAGTATCCATAGTACATGCTGAAACATTCACGCAGCGTGTGAACATCGGATCCCACCTGCGTTTGATTTATTCTACGGAATGGTGAGCCGAAGGGTAGTCAGAGTGAGTCCACGTAACATAGTCGTTTTTACGGAAGTTGTGTGGCTTGCCTCCTAGTCTAGCTACTCCACAACACCAGTTGACGAGTCAGTGAACTGAGTCGTGATCGCGATTACTGTTCTTTTGGCGATTCGGTCACGCGTCGTTTTGTGGGGCCAGTGCATTCTACCAGCAGTTGACGAGTATCGCTCACTATGCACGCTAGAGGAAATGTTCAACTTTGTTGAACTTCTCGTGCACTGTGATATTAAAATCAATGAACTTGTGATGTTGACAACTGCTCGCAATCCTGAGTAGATAACATCTGGTGGATTAAACTCGGACCCTATTAAATCAGTCTATGGCGAATAATGGACGGGAGAGGTGTGAAATGTCATTAGAAACACCCTTCAGTAAATGCGACCTGCTATGATCGGAACACATCTTTCTGGAATGTTGTTGGTCTAATTTCCAAAACTCAGATTTAACATATCTTGCTAGCAGATCCCAGACTTTGTGGTTTGTCTTCAAAACTGGTGAATGAGAAGGCCGAATGAGCGGGTTCGAGGGGACGAAGCAACAAAACGCACTTTAGCGAGGTAGCCTGTGTGTAGCACTACCGTGTCGCGAATTCCGCAACTGAATGATGCAGGACGTGATCATTGGTTTCATGTACGAACTGACTGTTATTGGGCGATTATACATTCATTTGCAAACTAATTTGGTTTTTCGAGAGACTCACCCGGAACCCAGTTGAATCTCTCATTTGTGGTGTTTGTGCTGCACCATGCCACCTCACGTTTTCAGGCGCTAGATATTCGAGGTATCGCGATACGTGTATAATTGTAATGCACTACTCATAAGGTTGCTGAAACTCTTCGACAACACACGAACGGTTTCGCCCCTCTTGAGGCTCATCAGGTAGGCCCAGTCCCCGAGTCTCCGTCAACCTTATGTCTACCTGAGCACACATTGGACTGTTTTCGAGAAATACACTTATTTGCAAATCAATTTGGTTTTCACGAGAGATCCAACTGAATCTCTCGTTAATGATATTCTACAACTGAATGTGCTGCACACAGGCCGCCTCATGTTTTAGTTGGCACGATATTCGAGGTATCGCAGTTGTAGAACATCATAAACGAGCGATTCAGTTGAGTCCCTCGTNGGCGCAGTCCGCGGGTTTCCGTCAACCTTACATTCTACTTGAAACTCTTATTTGCCCTTTCAGAATCGCCAGAAGAGTTTCTGTGTCTGTGAAATCTACTCACCGAGTAAAGCTCAACGAGTAAAGCTTACCCTTTCATGCATCGTACATCAATTTGCCAGGAACATTCTAAAAAAACACTGCAAACTTCAGTGTTGTTAACAACAGGCTCAGAATGATCATTCCTCTGAGAATGTTGCACAAAAGCAGCAACAATATTCGAGATATTGTGGTAGATCGTCTTGACGGCAAACACTACTCACATGGATGCTGAAAATTCTTCAACAGTCTATTGCCGGTTTCGCCCTTCTTGAGACACATCGAGTAGTAGGCTTATCCAAGTAGAACTTAAGGCTAACGGGAATTCGGGGACTTCAACTATATGATGGGCTCAAACAGAGGAGAAACCAGTCATGGGCTATCGCACAGTTTTCAAGGACCATCCCATTCAACCATCCTCATGATCTGATTCATGAACCGGCCGCCTGTCCCCTGAATATAGCCGCGACTCGCCCAAGGACCCTTCCTCATATCTTTGAGTTTTGACTGTGACGTGCAGCACCATGACATTCAATCCGAACAATCTCAGCAGCTTTTGGGGAATCGTCTATCCATCATTTAGTGTACTTTGTTCGCAATTCAGTTGTTTCTGAATCAACCGAACACGGCAGATCAGAAGATGATGCACAAAAGGAGGCGATCACGTGTTATCTGATTAATAGGTACATTTGATCTCTTTTCATGTGAGAAACTACTCACAAGGTTTCTGAATAGTCTTCGACAGTCCATGACCGTTCTGCCCTTCTTGGAGCTCATCAGGTGGATGCAGTCTCCGAGTTCTGTCAACCTTATGTCTACCTGAACACAAATTGGACTGATTTCGACAAATGCACTCATTTGCAAATCCATTCGGTTTTCACGGGGGAAACTCATCTGAATCGCTCGTTTATGATGTTCTTCACTTGTATGTGCTGTACAAAGACCGCCTCATATTTCAGTTGGTACGATATTCGCGCCTACCTGATGAGCCTCAGGAACGGTGAAACTGGTCGTGGGCTGTCGAAGATTATTCAGCGACCTTGTGAGTAGCGTACTTTATGAAAACATACCGCAACTGAAACGTAAACTGGCCTTTGTGCAACACATTCAGTTGAAGAATAACATATATTTGATCTCCATTTATTTATCGATCGATTTGTCTTACAACTGCTGCCGTGGCTGTGTCAACTTCCTACGCAACTACAGCCCTCACCACCCTCCGACCAAGTACTTCTAATTGAACTGAGGCGATCATGTTTGCGGATTTGCAATGCAGACACAATCGACCACCCAACTCAGAGGGGTACAAGACTGCGAAAAAAAACAAGAAATTGATTAAAGTAAGGATGAGTCTCAGAAGCCATACCTATGATCTCAGGTTGTTTTTTCTTCGTGTGTGTAGGCTCACACGTCGATGGTCCACTGACTGGCATCTGAAAAACCTTGTCACTCGTTTACGCCGCGCTTGATTTTGAACTGAACGACTACTCAGCATGTTGGCCCATACAGTAAACGGCTTGAATGTAGACTTTGCACACACTGCAGGCAGTTTCACCCAGGCACCTAATCACATGGATCGTCAAATAGCGGTGGTTTTTTTGCTCCACGGGCGTGCGACATTTGTCTAGTAGAAATGTCGATTAGGGGGAAACTGAGTGGAGCGAAAAGCCGATTTTTTAAACAGAAAACGAGCGTAGGAAATTGAGGGTACGGTACAGGTGCGGAATCAAGACAAATTCGAGTCAGGACTCGCCACCTTCGCAGAAGTTTCGGAAATAGTAGCATATGTTTTAAATGAAACGAGAAATACCTTCTAGAGAACTTTTTCAATTTAGACCAGTTGAGCAACATTTTACACCACGAGGCCAGTTGGCGAAACGGGAGGTACTTACAGGCCCCTCGGATAGTTGATTTACCTCTCAAGAGGATAACACAACACAGTCGCTTGGAGGTTCACAGAACAAAAATCAATGTTTTGTCACACCGTTCCATTATTCCACTTGGCCATGATCATCACAACATTTTAGGCCTAATTGATGCGCGATAAATCGATACATACCCCGTTTCTGATTATAACTGTGCAAAGCTGAGTTCTTCCATGTCACATATTAAAGATTTTTAAATCGCTTTCATGAATACGGCCAAGGATACGCACTAGTAAACAGCTCTAATAAGAGCAAAACTCGAGTCCAGTGCTCCACCCCCCACTTGGTGTGGCCTTACCAGAATAATTGCTACAGAATTGTAGCCCCTCTGTCTTTTATCATGAGTACATACGTACTAATGTTCAGTACCTCTAAACTTCGAATCTACTTTAAAATACTCGGAGTATCACTTGTTGAGTTTCAAATTGTACCAGTTTCAAAGTTAAATGTCTGTCCCCTGCAAACCCAATAGTAGTGTACGTGAAGCACTTGATTATTGACAGAATAATCGTTCAGCTGTACCACTTTTTTCGTTGCGTAGCTGCCATGCCACCCTGTTAAAAAACCAAAGGCTGATACACTGCCAGGTTGTCCAAATCCAAGTCGAAATGTACAGGTTGGGCTCGAAACTGCCGCTCAATAAGTTTGTGCCTTAATCAATGAACTATCTCGAGTTCGACTTGTTTAAATGGCGCCTCCCGCGGGATAGGGGCTATGTATGTGCCAACAGAGCAATCGACGGATGTGCGATGGGGTCCTCACCACAGCAGGCAATGAAAGCTACTGTGACGTTTGGGCTTATGGTGCTGCGGGCCAGCAATAACATCTCAGCATAAAATGACTCATTTAACGACCTATGAGATGTAGGCCACATATACTTGCCACGTGGTATGGCAAACCAATCGGTGTGCAGCGCATCTCTATTGTGATGACTTGTGATGCCAGCAACCGACCGCCCCCCCGCCGCGGCGCCTTGAGACAAAGCCCACATGTGGAGGGGGAGACATTTGGCATGACTTTCACGTGGCACCGTTTGACAACAATCGCACTCTCCTTGCCTGTATATTTTGAACTCAATCCAGCCACCCGCACGCTTCAACAAACCCGCATCACGAACAATGACATGTTGCGGTGTTTATCGTTGCTAGGGCTGACTGTGAGATGGCGTGTGGCCAACATGTAAGTTTGGATGCTGGTTGGACCTGTGTGCTGCTCGTACAAGTTTTCAAACCCTGCAGAGTGACGTCATCCATATGCTTCGATAACTTTTGCGACTGCAAAATTCCACTTACTTACATGGTAATTTGGTGTCAGCATGAGACTCAACTGAATCCTACTGAATCTCTCATTTGTGGTAGTTCTTTTCAACCGGACCAGGCCGGCTAATGCCGCGAAATGTTGTGATATCCGATATATCGCAATACATTATCTAAAATAACACACTACTCATAAGGTTTCTGAGGGGTCATCTTCATTCTGTTCCCTGAGCAAAGCAATGAAATCGCTTACCACCTAAGAGAACGTATCACTGTGAGCAGACAGTTTATAAGGCAAGTAATGCGGCACAATCCTTTCCACATAAACACTCCGTAGCAATGTTCGGATTCCCCGGGGGGCTGTCTTGTGATTGCGTTAAACTGAAATGAATCTCACCGCGGTATGCAAGGAAGCAAACTATGAGTGGAACCCGAGTAACCGTATGATTTTAGGGATCTTCCTACACAGGTTGGGTGATCGATTGGGTTTACACATAACCTTTTCGAGATATCGTTTGAACTTTGATACTCTTTGATACTTCCAATGGAACCAGCTCACAATGTATGTTCTTCGATTTGCGGAGGGTGATTTTCGCAACCTCGCGCAGTTTGACGAGAGATATATCGATTTCCTGAGCACTGTTGGATATGTGCTCTTTGCTCACCAAGGACAAAGCAAGTGCACTCTTTCAAGAAAACTTGCGTCTCTCTGGTTACGGCACTTTGCCAGCGAGTGCTGACGTACGCAGACCTGACCTGTTTTCCAGTTACCTGGCCGGTAGACAGGACTGTTAAGTGATGGTGACTGTGTTCTACTTCCCTAATCTAACGGTTCCTAATTTCCCACGCCCGAATTCACTGCCTATGCTGTTCGCATCACTATATCCCTGGATGCCCGGTTCATCTATGGAGCCGAATTAACCACCAGGCAGTCGACCAGGCACTAATCTGAAATTTGTGTAGTTCTTTTTAAGCTTTGTTTATTTTGTATGGCACCGGTCGCCTGACTCTTCGGTGAACAGTTTTCACTCTGTTCATAATGCCCACGCACCCGATCAACATGGAGCGCGCTAATGGTACATGCGAACTAACACGGCTTTCGCTCTATGCAAGCGGTACTTCGACCACTTGAGTTCGTTAGATCCAGGGAAATCATAAAAAATGACGGCTTCCTGGTCGGAGTCATTCTCGTCTAGCAGGCGGATTACAAATCTTTCACGTTCCAACCGTTTATTGGTCAGATCCACTGCATATCGATCACTGATCGATTGTCAGACATGATCGATGTGGAGAACGCCTAATCTGTAAGTCTAGTTCTGTAGTACCAATCACTGGAGCGTGTACAATGAATGGTGATCACATATTCTGCAGCCAGATTGTTAACTTCTATTGTGATCACTTATTTTCTAGCAAGGAAGCTTTCGATTCATTCAGCGGTATTTAAATCTCGTCAATTCTCGTTTAATAACCTACCACATAGGTGAACAAAGTAACTACTTAAATCGGCTTCCTCATCGTTGTCTGTATGTGAATAAACATATCATGAGTGGGAATGACTCATCAAACATACACGTATGATTCACTGAGGATGAGCATCCGTGACAGAAAAAGTGGCAGCCGACAGATAACTGTCACCTTGATCAGTTTCTCACATCAGAATTAATTCCTTACTTCCGGACGCAACATGGATCTGAAAAGGACAACTTTGTGAGGCAGACACAGGCCGGTTCAGACATCAGACGCGTAATGCCCATTACGGAATCTCACAAGGTCCTGGTCACCCTCCTAACCTGACCCACTTCGTCAAGAAAGAAGTGCACTGCTTCTGGAACTCAATTTATACTTGGGCCAGCCTCTTTCGCTGCCCAAAAAATGAAGCTTCGGACATAAATTATCGAAATTCGCAGCAGTCTTAGGCCAAACATTTTAAGGGTGTCAGAGCGGTAACAAATGAATGAGTATTTATGTCTCAGCTGCCTCTGGTAAGGTGTCGGTCTGCAGTGCATGGCAGTGAATATGTGTCAAAACTGTCAAGCTCTTCAAAGAGAAACTCAGACATTCGTTGCTAGCCAGTCGTAGCAAGGTGGAGGAGCCAGTTCTTGCATTGTGACAATCTGGAGAACAAAACCCCGTGTACCAATTCTCCACGACACAGTGGTCTGATGTACTTTGAAAAAGAGTGATGAATGACGTCCCACACAAGCTGTAATCCACATGGTACAATCGTCAGATAACATCATAAAAACTTCAGAGACCCCGACGCAACTGACCAATCGACGCATGTCGAACGATATCAAATTTCATGCTGTTAAAGGGGACAGAAATGGAAGATGGTCAACTCAGATGGATGCGACAAAAAGTCCAAAGTCCGACGATATGATCTAATTCTCCATTAGATCCGTTGGCATGGCATTTTCAATAGTGCGAGCATTTTTATTGAAGCGGGTGAAATTGGACGTGTAATTTGCATGAAATAGTCCGTATTTCGGTACCTTTGCCTCCAAGTGAACTCACATAAGTAGCTGTCCACTAAAGATCGGTGTGTACCGAAAACACACTGCTGGGGAAGGACTCACCCAGAGTGGTTTTTACGGCGAGATATTAGCGTTTCATCAATCTCGACGTGTGGATCTGGGCCACCAATAACTGTAGGAGTCTGAAAAAGCAGCCAGGAGCAAACTTCACGAAGAAAGTTCTCAAGTCAACAGTGGTCACATGGCCAATAGATAATTCCTCTGAGCGGAATTTGATTTTTGCCAAATTTTTAGACCAGCAATTAATGAATAGAATTACTGTCCTAAGCTCCATCCTAGACCACTCCAACCGATTTCCCTTTCGAAGACCGATTTCATGCCGACAGTGTCGGGCATTACACCTCCACCTGTCAGACGAAGTTGAAAGTGTCATTTGGCGGCCATTGTTGCGTGAATTTGCTGATGGATCACTCCGTGGCTTTGCGAAAAACGTATTGCCGTCTCTTTGTCACGAACGAGAGTTGAAAGTGTCAGGAAGTTTATTTAAGGTTTTACGTCCGAACGGCGAAAATGTTTGCACAAAATGAGCCTAGATGCGGATAAGGAACTGTTTTCACCAAAGATAGATGAAAGTTGTGTGCGTACATTAAATTGGG